TCATCAGGTTAAGAAGATCAATCCCAGTGTTGTTATGATTCACTGCTTCCAGCATTGAGAAAACCTAGCAACCAAAGAAATGAAACCAGAGCTCCAGGATGTCATCAAAATTGTGAACTTTACCAAAGCAAGAGGCCTGAATTTAAGGGTGTTTCGAAAGATGTGTGAGGAAATGGGATCTGAGCACCAAGACCTGCTTTTTCACTCTGAAGTCTGCTGGCTATCTCGAGGAAAGATCATTGCAAGAGTTTTAGAAATGAGAATTGAAATCGAAATATGTCTTCATGAGAAGAAGAATGTCTTTGCTTGGTTTGAAAAATTGGCCTATTTGAGTGACAGCTTCCATCACCTGAATGAACTGAACACAGATATGCAGGGTCACAACCAAACCATGATTGATATTGGTGAAATAATTGTCCTTCAAGAAAAAATTTAGTCTTTGGAGCAAAAAAATGGCCAAGGGGAAGACTGCAGCAGCATTCCCAGAGTTGAAAGCATTACTGGAAGACTTTCATGAAATATCATTGACCAATATCGAAAATATTTTTTCAGGGTCATTTAAAAAAGCTTCAAGTCAAGGTGAATCGATATATGCCAAAAAAATGTTGAGCTTCAAAAGCACAGCTGGGTCAGAAATCCATTTGATTTGGATGTCAAAGAATTTGGAGATGACATCCTAGGGTTTCAAGATTCTGGGACGAACTGAAAGATAAGCTGATTGTTTGCCAGGAAGCTGAAAAAGTTCTGCTGCCTTTCCCAATGATATACATCTGTGAATCAGGAATCACAAGCCTCGTGATCATCAGGACCAAGGCAAGAAATAGATATAATCCTCATCATGATCTACACTGTGCTCTCTCTATCAATATTAAACCAAAATTGAATCAAGCAATTACGAAGGTACAACAGTATCATGGAAGCCACTGAAAATGAAGGGCCTGCATTAACAATCAGCTGAGCAAACAGCGATGTTTATATTTTTATTAATTTCAAGTAAATTAGTGCTTGCAGCTTTCTTTGTTCAACAACTGAACTTTATTCAGAAAAAATACAACTGGAAGAAGTTGAACAATTTTGTCTACATTTTTTCCCAAATGTTTTCTTTAATATTATGTTATAAATCTGAAGCAATTTGCTGGAGTGCTGAGTAGGTACTGATACTATTTGGGTTGCAAGACCAATCTGATTTCAAATTTTGGGTCATGGACAAATAAGTTTGGGAACCACTGAAATAGTATGTTAGTTTAAATCACACTGAATTCGGTTTTCAAACTCCACAAAATACTGGGCCAATTTCAACAGATTTAATTTACTTAGGAACAATCAGAGAGAGATCATTAGGAGTTACTAAGCCCGATATTTAGAATATCTGAATATATATATATATATATATATTTTACTATGCCTGTTATTCACATTATGATTATAAAACTATCCATTCATACAGAAATATTTCTGTTTTTATAAAAATGTTACCAGGTTTTACTTCATTCTTATTTAAAAGATACTAATATTTCAGGAGACAGAACACAAGCAATAATTACTTAAATGTGGAGTTATTATTATTAAAAAAATTAAAACAATAAGCTTGTTATACTGTAATTCAAGTTAACCTGATGAAAACAAAATGTTTGTATTTATTTGTGTGAAACAGTACCAAATAGTTAATATTTTTTTTTATCAGTTCTTC